CCATGTAAATATACTGAAGAGTTATTAGTGCATTTCATAACATCTTATTTTAGTAACAAATACTCGTAAAAATTGTTTTAATTGACCTTTGGGTATATTTTTCTATTATTTTTTGATAAGTATATAATAATCATTTTTTAAAAAAAAAAATGTCGTGAGTACAAACTATTTTTGAAATGTTCGTTTTCATATTTAAATACTTTACAAGTTGTTTTGGATTAAATATACGAATACAAAATGTTCTCGAAAGATAAGTAATCATATTTATAAGAAATGCTAAAGTTTAAAAGTAAAATATAAATCATCAGAATATTCTCATTTTTTACTAGTCCTTCTGTTGGTTTAATAAATGTTAAAATTATGAATTACATTTTTTAAGAAAAAATAATTATACCTTATACATTATATATTATAATTACATATATTATATTGGCAAAAATGAATAAATATAATTATTATTTTCAAATTCATTTGTTTTTTAATATATACTTTTAAAAATGAACGCTAATATTAGGTGTGTATATAAATATTATTTAGTAAAAAATAATTAAATTTTCAAAAAGTCAAATTTATTAGGTTTATAGTTTATATTTGATATATGTACATATAGGTATATTATAAGTACTTTTTCAAGTATGTGTAAAATTTTTTGAATCTACATATGCGAGGAACTTTATTTTAAAGAAAAAAATTAATGTAAAATTAATTAATATTATAGGTAGTTCATAATAAAGAAGCAGATTTTATCGTCTATATACATATTCATAAACAGAGCCTCATAACTTCAGGCCCCTATACTAAATGTTTTTCCGGGCCCTTTATAAAACATCCAAAAATACAATTTATTATTTTTATATATATAACAAGTTTAGAAATACTATTTGTTTCTTCATTATACCAATTCAAATTTAAGATTCATAAGCATTTTAACATTAATAATGTCTATTTTATTTTTTTATTACAATATTATTTAAATTAAAAAAGAAAAAAACATTTTGTGTTGCGGGTTTTGAGCTCAGCGAACTCAGTAATAATATCGCCAAAATTGATCGTCAAAGTCAATCCATTCATTTCTAGGTAATCATTGGTTAATCCGCATTTTGAACTATCAAAATAACTAAATATATATATATAATGTTATTTTACAATATTATTTTATGTAAAATAAGTATTTCTTCAAAAGTTTTAAAAATTTCAAATAAATTTCAACTTAAAATAGTTAGGCCCCTGTACTTAAGGTCCATTAGACCCCCCCTTGTGGGGGCCCTGTTCATAAGTATGATAACAAATAATATAGAATCTCCGTAATCTGGCTGTTCGATAATCCAATAAGTCCAGTTATCCGGCTGTATTAATCTATACGTACCAATATGTATTTATATATAAATTTATTATCGTAAAAGATAAATCGTTAGATAAAATTAAGTTATATCAGATTAAATCTGACTAAACCTATTTGATATTTTATTTTTATTCAGTGAACGTTGAAGTGTTGTGCGTGTTTATTGTGTGCCAGTTAGATATTGTGTTCTATTACGACAACGAAAACGAAAACTTAGACTTAAAGTTTTAAATAAATTAGAAAACGGTGACAAATTAGTAAACCTCGCTAACTAATTTAAAGTAGGCCGTGCAACAGTATATGACATAAGAAAAAATAGCAAAATAATAAAATCTTTTTCAAAAAATAACGAAAGTTTTAAAAGTATGCGCAAAACATTTATTGAAACCTGTCCTGTCAAAATATTAATTGCATGGCACGTATGTATTATTTATATGTTATATTAAATTACAATAAGATTATTGATTTTTTAATATGAGTAAAAATTTAAAATGCAAAAAGTAAAAATGCGTTTTTATGTGAACTCTACTAAACCAGCGTTTTCGGCAGTAACATGGTCTGATATGTGCTAGATTACCAATTTTATTGTAAATGTTTATCGTGTTAAGAAATGCATTCTTATAAACATTTTAGTCTCATTTTCTTTATTTGTATTTTTATTTGAAAAAAAAATAGTTTTTATATTGATATTATGCATGCATAAATGATTATTTCTAAATACTTGTACTGTTTATTTATAAAAAAATAAAAAATAATAATAAATAATAATAATAATAATAATAATAATAATAAAGTGGACATCTTGGTTTCGTATACATTTTTCTCTAGTAGATAAATACAATTTTATTAGTTTTCAAACTAAGATTTTAATAGAATTTAAATTTATCCTTAAAAATTTATAAAATTGTATTATTTATGATTACCAAATTAGAAATTAACAATAAAATTGTGTCTTCGACAAAATAATAATAATACTGAAAAAAAATACTTTTTTGATTTTTGAGTAAAATATAAATTTTGAATTTAAGTATATTTCATTGTATTATGAACAAATATTTTATTAATTATTCGTATTTTTAGTTCACTTATTTTATTGATTTTTATTTGTTGTGATTATAACACTTAGTATTTTAAGGTTTATTTTTAATTACATGCGTGTGTTTTCGTAATGATTTTAATGAAGTCGTGATATGTTATATGATTTCTTTCACACTTTTGTGTAATTTAAAAATCAAAATATTACCGTTTTATGATATTACAGTAATTAGTAGATATATTTTGATACATATTAGTTCGTAATAATTTGAACGAAAACGTGTCCTGGTGTTTCAGTAAATTGAAATCGAAAAATTTCCCTTTCACATGTAAACCATTAATATGAGATTATTTATAATTTTAATTATACATCATATATTTTACGAATTTGAAATGATAACATGTATTTAGTGTTAGTATTCATATAGCGATTAAGTTTATAGTTTATGAAGTTAAAATTGAATTATTATTAATTTATAAAAACGTATTGTAGTATTTAAAAAATAATACCATAATGTATAATGTATAGTTATCGAGTATATTAAGTATATTATCGAATTTAAGAACCATTGAGTTGTTAAGAATAGTTAAGTATTTAGAGTTAACATATATAAATCAAAGGACAGAAACAAAAACTTCAAAATGGAATATTCGAAGAAATTATCAAGCGAAATTTTTAAACTGGAAGTAATTTCTCATCAATTATTATAAATAAAAGGTTCACCACTCATTTTGGTATGTGGTGTAAATGCTATACAATTTTGAAACTATTAGATATATAAAAAGTATCAAAAGAGTTATTTTTATCGTTAATATTACTAAAAAATGTTCAAGTTTTTTTTTTTAATATGATGCGTTATTAAAACTATGTTCTTATCATTTTTTAATATTTTTCTAAAATTCAAATTAAACTAATATTGTATTACAGCAGAGATTCCCAAACTTCTTATAGTAGGACCCATTTTGGAAATTATTTAAATGTTGTCGACCCACAATACTATCAATGACTTTTTTTTTGCTATTTTCATCATTTTAAATGAAAGAAAAGTATTATATATATATATATAAAAAAAAAATATACTATGTAATTTAATTAGTAAGTATATAATTTTAATATGAAGGATGGAATTGTTTCCTATTTTTCATAACTGCATTGATATCCACTTTTTTATTTTGATTGAAAAGAACTTGTAAGCTCATCATCAATTAATTTTCTTTTTATAACCGTTGACACAGATATTATCTCTGTTTATTCAGTTTTGCAGAACTTTGAGTCATTAACTTTTTATTTAATCATTTGTCTATAGAAACAGTACAAAAGCATAAAAAAAAAAAAACGAATTTATTGGTTATTTGAAAATAGTAAGATTTAAACTGCATGCATGTATTGTATTCAATGTACCGTGTGTTATTGAAAATAATAAATTTATTGAACGTCATACAGGTACTAATTTGTTTAAAATATATTGCTATATTTTCAAAAATTATTAATTTTATTGCGTCGTGTTGACACAGTCGGTCATAGATTTATAAAGAAATATTATTATGTCTATTGGTCGCAGTAAATTTGTAATTGTCTCAAACGCAGATAACATTTTATGATAAAACTAAATAAATAATTAAACATCAACCAAAAGTAATTGAAACACATGAAAAATATAAAACCACCCACTAAAAATATAATCGCCATTCACTTGGGTCGCGACCCACAGTTTGGGAACCTCTGCATTACAGTATATATGATTATATATTTAATTTTATATCTATAGAGATAATTACCATTTTAAGGTTATAGCTGTCGAAGATGATTTAAATTTTACAAAAATCTTATATAATTTTAGTTTTCTCAACTTTATTGGGGAAAACACTGATTACGTAATATTAAATTCATTGATGTTTATTTCTTTTCCCGGGCTTTTTATATTTTAAAATTATGCTGAAAATGTTATAACTATTTATTATACAACGTGTAACCAATTGATTTCATGCATGAATAATCTCGAATATTTATTATACTATATACTCGTTTAAAAATAAAATCGAACAAGTATTATTAAAAATTAATAAAATAATTGAAGAAAAAGCGATTGGTTTAAACCAATCGCTTTTTCTTCAATTATTTTCAGTATACGAACTACCATTTTGAAATCATCTTATTATTTAATTTTAATTTAATTTTGGTTTGATAATTTGATATTTATTTTAAAAGCTTTTGCTCTTTAAATAAAAATAAATTATTATAAAGTATACATGATCAAATAAACGATGTATTTGTATTTTAATGTTTTTAATTTTAATGTAGAGTCTTTATAAAATATCAATGCGTCATTATAATTTGAAAATGTTTCATCAACACAGGATTTTTACGATTCGTATATTTTAGTTCAAATAATGCCTTCTGAATGACACTACTGTGAATAAATATTATTGTAAAGTGGTCAAAAAATTGTCTCATTATTATATATATTTTATTCTCCTATGCTTAAATGAAATTTTTATTTCCAATCGTTAATATTACTTATACCTATTAGAAAATAAATTGAATACAAATATGGTAACCCAAAAATATAAAAAAATATAAATAATATTATTTTAAGAACGGATTATTATTCCTAGTACTTACAGTATATTCTAATCATTTTGCCGAATTTTCTTGTCGCTGAAAAATTCTTCGGGTTAAATTTTCGAATGCGGCTTTATGTAGGTGTGAATAAACTTAAACTAATCCAGTGTAGGTACTGCATGATACAATTGCACCTCACTCATTTAGCAGCTACTATCAAATTGTAAGCATTGTTTGCGGTGATAATAAAACACGTTTTTTTTTTTGTCATGGTTGTATTATAGTTTATAGTCGTTTCTAGGTCATTAGAATATTTGGACCTCATAACTGAATTATTTTCTGATTTATTTTATAAGACTAACAAAAGTAAGGCTTTAAAAACATGTAGGTAATTAGGTTTTTTTTATGAAAGTATATATTTTCCTTACTTAATGCGCTTTCAATATTCAAAGGTCATACATATATATATTTTTTTATTGAAATGATTTATTATTTTACCATAGCTCGATTCACTAAGTAATTAAAATAGTTGGTTAATTAATCATTGTAATATAATATGGGTTGTTGTTTTCATTCAGTTTTTCATTTCTATAAGGTATAGAAATATCAAAACACGACAAAAATGTATGAACCATATTTCTATAAAACTTCAGGATAATTTATATAATTTCGTAAATTTATATTAATTTATTTGATGCCTAAAATTAAAATTTCACCATATCGAAACGATTATTAATATAATATTATTTAAAAGAATTTTTAAATAAAATGTATCTTTAATACAGTTTTTTTTCAATGTTTGTATTATGGCGACACATCATTCAAATATTTTATACTTTGCGACGCATCTAAAAAAAAATGTAAAGAACAATTAAAAATATTATTCAATGTAATGTCTACTTAAAATTTTATTTTAATAAAAAATAATTAATTCAGAATTATTAAATTAATAATTCTTAGATGATATAAATACATATGCTTCATTATATAAAATATCAATTTATATTTTGTGTCATTTAATATACCTTACGACATATTTGGACTTAACTCACGACACATCAGTGTGTCATGAAACAACGGTTGAGAAACATTGCTTTAATGATTAACGAGCGTTAAATTATAAGTAGGAATTTATTATTGAAACTTTTAATTTTAAATAGTTTAAAAAAAAATTGATTTATTTTCGTTACTCATATTTATGAATGCAATTAAAAAATATCTTATTGAATAAATACGGGAAAGCAGCTATAAAGAAACGTAAAAGCTATTTAAAAACTTGAAAAATATTTATTATTTTAATAAACAAGTATAATAAATGAAGTGTACCTCGATGTCCAACTTGGTGACTTGTATGTATGTAACCGTGACTTAAACGCGCACGATCAATGGAAACATTGTGTTTAAAATTGTTCTATTACTGTAATTAAATTAGGAATACTACTAATTTCATGTAAGTTTATAATATATTATTTTTAAAAAATTCATTAATATATTTTTTGATGAACAATGGTCGTCAGCCAGTGATGGCAGATTTCAGATTACATTATTTGCGTAATATGTAACATAAAATGTAATAATATGGTGATATCTGTCATTTGATTAATATGCATAAAATGCTACTATAAAATTATTTATTATTTGTATATTATTAATAGTTCTTTTTAGGAGATATTAAAAATGAAAATAAATAATGGATCCTTAATAACATCATAGTACTTTAAGTTCCCTTCATTATTCTTCGAATGGGATAGTTTATTATTATTTTAAAATATGTAATACATAGATAATACATGTATGATATTACTACAAGAATCCAATTCTAAGATTCTGGGTTAACAATTTTACTATAAAAATATTTATTTTAATATATTATAATAAGTAAAGTTGGCATTTTACAAGTAATTTTAACACAAAGATAAATATAGTATTTCTTAGATATTTGAATGTATCAGTACTATGTTTCGTGATAATTTAATTGTTATTCTGTATATATATAGTACGCTCGGTGTGCAATAATGTGACTTCTACTACTATGTGATGTTCTGTTTAGATCTCAAATGTGACCTCCCTGTTTTATATCCATTACCCATCTCATGAGCATCACTAAAAATTTATCGCAAAAAAGAATTCCATACGTAGGCACATTTAGATTGAAAATGTAATGTAAATTATTAATCCGTATGCGAAGTACTGTTTGGGTCCCAAAATTGGCTACACATTTTAATTTCTATGTGTCATCGCATGAAGTTCGGGATAATCTAGTTATGTTAAGGACTTCCGTTCGTAGTTAATTTTGTAATGAGTAATGACCATGTTAAGTAAAAAATAAAAAACCAAAATATATATATATGTATATAACGTTTTCTTGCGATCTTAAAATTAACAAAACATAATTTGAAATACTAGTTTTAATTTGCTTAGTACATTATATTATTATAGACCAGTATTTTCCAAAGTTTTTTCAAATTATTATTAAAATGTATTATATGACACTAGACAAATTGAATTCACCGTGACTTTGTTTTCTTTTCATAAAATTACTTTTTCACGTTTTTTTTTTCTTTACTTAATGAATACAACAAAATTGATTCTTCAAATTCGTCATCGGAATTGATTCAGAACTTAAATTTATTAAATTTTCGGCCATCATACTATCGCTCATGCTGGTAACTATGGATAACAACTATCGGTGAAACATCAGAACTACGTAGTAATATGCGCTCAATTAGGTAGCGCAGTTTTTCCTGCGCAGCATAGTTTTCTGTAATCTATTAGTTAGAACGTACTAGCGCATATTGGGAGGCAGGGCTGGACAGAACAGTGCTGTGTCTGTGTCGACCTGCGTCACGCAGTGTCCGCGACACAGATTACTGCGCACGTGTCACACGCACCGGCTTAATATAATTTCCACCTTTTTAAATTCAATTCAATATTTTATTTTTTATTTTAATTTTATTACGGAAGAGTTTGTGATTGAAGCCGTCCGACGTTACTTTGTCTTACATGTCAACTATATGAAGACAAAATTAAAAAATTATTTTTCCAATTTTTTTTATCTGTATTTAACGAATGTAATAAAAAAAGTTCATCAAATTTATCCGTCAGAAACTGATTCAGAACTTAAATTGTATTACATTTTCTGCTATAATTTCGCTCATGACTAAGTGATTGATTGCACAGAACTGTGTAGTAATATTCGCTCACATAGTTCACACAGTATTTCCTGCGCTGCGCCGCGTCGCCTGCGTCTCAATATGCGCCCGACCTAAGGATCCGCGGACCACAGTTTGGGAAACGCTGTTATAAGCTGGGTACACACGTTCAGTTTTCAGTTCAAACTTAACTTAAAGTAAGTGTGTTCAGGTAAGTCGAAGCTCGTGATTCACTACACACGATTCGTATTGTTGATCAGTTAAGTGTTGCAACTTCATGATGTCCGACGATTTGTGCATCGTTTTTTTTTTTTATTTTTTTCACTATATTCTGATGCCTTAACTTTCCATAAACATGGGTTTTCTCGGTACAGTTCAATAAATTCGCTCAGAATCTTTTTTGGCCAATTTCGAGAGTCCATACTATTATTATAATTTAAACTACTGAAGATAATCATTTACAATAGTTTTATAATTATTTATAATTATTATATCTGTACTTACTCTTTTGATGTAATATCTTAATTATATTATTAATAATAGTTGATATACGATTAATAATATCTGAAAGTTTCAATATATTATCCATTTATATATGCACGTGGTCGTTCGCGCCAATTTAAAAAATCAAAAACAACCAGTTCAGTTCATGCCGCACCCAGGACTGAACGAGCCTTCAGTTTTTGCATACTTACGTTAGGACTTGTCTGAACGGCCAGGCCTGTTCAGTTAAGTTTTAAACAAAAACTGAACGTGTGTACGCAGCTATAGACTATAGTAATAACTATGATACAAACGGCACCGGTCGTGAATCTAGTGATTTTTGGACCATGAGTTTTTGTTGAATAGGTAAATCTATATAAAGTATCTATAAAATAATATTATATTTAATATTTTTATTATGCCTATAAGGACCATAATAGTATAATGAACAAAGTAAATCGAAAAACGTGAATTTATTGGTGTGTTGTGTACGTTGGGGCTGTACAATAATAAATTATAAGAACGAAGGGTTTTACCCAAAACATATTAAGTTGTATCATTCTATTGCCTTCTTTTCGAATATATTGATATTGTTATATATAGAACCCGGATTTATATGCATTTAAAGTGTCAAATATGATGCAAATATGAAAAGAAAAAGTGGCTAAATATGCAATTATATGCATTATGTTACACTTCATAAAATGTGATTTCTTTTTTTGAAAACCACAATTTTATACCAAATAAAATTTTAATTATTTTATTAAAAAAAAAAAAAAAAAAAAATGATAATATCCACTGATTAATATTTCAAATAATTTAAATCAATCTTAAACTTTTAGGAAACTAAAAAAATGAGAATAAAAAAAAAACTAAAAATAAATATTTTAGATTTTATAAATACTTTAAATCATTTGAAGTTACCTACTGCCAAAAAACTAATAGAAAACTTAAAAAAAAGAAACAAATCTTTTAAAATAATATTTTTGAAACTTAAAACCTATCATGTCAATTCGTGCTCTATTCAAGGAGATTACAAAATTTACTGTAAATTAAAATAGTTAATTTATTAAAAAACCATTAAATATGCATGTTATATGCATTTATGAACAAAAATGCAATAACCCTCGAAATATGCAAAATATGCAATATAAAATTTGGTGTTTCAATTCGGTGTAATATGAATCGTGGACATTTCAAACCTCCATAGACACGCATACACTTAATACAAACATGCAAATGCATATAAATCCTGGCTCTAGTTATATATATAATTATGTTGTTATCAAATATTGTATATTTTCGTCATCCCAACGGTCGCTGTCGAACTATAAACTTATGATTTGGTTATGGTAAATGATTTATTATTTTATTTTGTGGTCGTTGCTTGCTATTTTATTGCATTTAATTTTACGTTTTATGTTTGAATAACTATGACTATACCTATAATATTGTTTGTGCGGCAGAGCACTGCGGTTTTTTTTTTGCGCCATGAGCTTCCCGAAGCTTCGAGAAGTTTTGTGGTGCGCCCTCCCCCTTATGCCCCGTCACAAGA